GCACCTGGCTAGTCCCACTTTTAATGGATCTTGGATTGTTTCACAAGGGCCAAGCTATTCCAGGCCCATACAAAATGCCCTTGATGGGCTGGACCTTTAAATGGTTTCTTGAAGTGGAGATTACATAAACTAATACTTTTAGAGATACTATTTTTATAAATCATACATGAAGTTTACTATTTCAAAAATCAAATATTCTATTAATTAATTAATATGTATAAAAATTAATTAATCCCAAATTCATCCCAATATCGTTTCCAAAACTGCTCACTCTGGCATCTCCCCCTTCTCTACACTGTCACTGCAAATCGAACTGGTGACCTATCGTCGCTGTAGATCCGATTTTTCTTTGGCGAGATGCACATCGGAGATGTGCATGTGTGGTTGGCAATGCTGTTAGGTTCTGTGAAGAAGCCGTAGAGGTGAGTCTTACCCAGTGTTACGGCGACGTCTTGCCCAGTGTCGAGGCGAATCGATGCGGCTGTAGCAAGTGCAGCCTTAGAGAAATTAGGTTTGGGTGTTGGCGGTGCTAGTGTTAGTGACGTGGCTGCAATAGTCCGGATCTGTGGTTGTGTACAGCCATCGTGTTATCTCCATGTTCCAGGCGGTACTTGATCTCAGTCGATGCGGCTGCAGTTTTGAGAAATTAGTTTAGGTATTGGTGGTGCGGGTGAGATGACTACAATAGTCCTGATCTGTGGTTGTGATGGTCGTGGTGTTGTTGTCAAGAGGTGGTGGTGATGGTCGCGGTTATGGTGGTGTGTGTATGATTGTGTTGCTTTAGGTGCGATTGTGTTGTTATGGGTGCAATGGTAGTGCGGTGGTTGAGTGTGCGCGTGCACGTGCGGTAGTGGCATCATAGCGGTGGTGATGGTGAAATGTGGTGATGGGTCTGTCGGGGTAGTGGTCGAGGTTCGCGCGATTGTGATGGTGTGTGCGCGACTGTATTGCTGTGCGTGCGATTGTGGTACTGTGGGTGTGATGGTAGTGGTGGTTCTGGTGACGACGGTGGTGGTGGTGTTGGACGTAGTGGTGAGATGGCAGTTGCAAGAATTGGCAGTGGTCACAAATTATTTGGTTGGCTGTGATAATTAAATTGGTTAATTCGTTACCAATAAACAATATGTGATCAATATAAAATATAAATTATGATAAAAAAATAATATGACCTAAAAAAGTAAAAATTATTAATTTGAGATCGATAATTTGTGACTGTATAATAAATTGTGACTTATAATATTTGTAATTTGTGATCAATAAACAAATTGTGATTTAAAATTTTTTTGATTTGTAATCGATGAACAAATTGTGATCCATAAAATTTTTGAATTGAGACCGTAAATAATATGTGACATAAAATTTTTGATTTTTGATTAAAAAAATAATAAGTGACTAACTAAATTATTAATTTATGACCAAATTGTATAAATTTGTGATTGAATTATGGCCTCGTTTGGTAGGGATTTTTTGCCCCAAAAAATTGATTTTTTGACCGTTATTTTACTATTCAAGCCGTAATTTTTGACTTCTTCTCTCACATGTGGACCCCACTTTTCTTCTAACGGTCAAAAAATCAATTCTCAAAATCCCTACCAAACGGGCCCTATATTTAATTAATTAAATCATTAATAATTTTTAATAAAAATATGATTTTTGAAGTTTGAAACTTGGCTTCTTAATTTTAAAATGTGTGACACTTAACTCTTACTTATGAATTTTTTTCATTTCTTAAAACTTTTTGGTTTCTTCATAATATAAAATTGAGCCCACTAGCCTCTAAATCCCTAAGATCAGCCCAAATCCAAACCCAAGTCTTTGGTTTTTTTATGAAAGCCCATCCAAGACCACACTTACGCTTAAATTCCTAATCCCAATATCGCAATTATTAGGGGGATTCATTTAATAGGCTCAGTCAAACAAAAAATTTATTTAAAAAGACTATGAATTATCTTTTTTATTTAGATAACCTTAGGATACAAAGAAAAGGAAAATACAAATTTTAAATTACTAAAATATCCTTATATGTAAAAGACATAAAGCCCCAATTCCCCTTTCAATTTTCATTTAACCCTAATTCACTTCCACAGTTGGATCGACCATTCTCTGCTATTTTTCTTCTTTTTTATCATCATCTTTTTCTTCATGAAACCCCAAAATATAATATTATCGTTCTCTTAAATATTCACTTGGTTGAAGTAAGTAATCAAAGCTTATATTATTCTTGATGGGTATTTGAAGAAGAAGAGAAGGTAATGTTAAATTTCAGTATTTTGGCTACTTTCTTGTTTAATTTTTCTGAATCACATGTTGTGATTCGTGTTTATGGTGTTGATTTGTTAGTAATGATTTTTTTTTTGTTTTTTTTATTTTATCATCGAATTATAGATTTGATATGGGTTGCTTTCCCATTTTCTCATTAACTCTTATTTTTTAAGTGAATATGCTAGTAAACATATGTTTGGCTATTCTATTTGTTGTTATACTATAAAACATATATTTCATTATTTCCGTCCAAAACGACTTATATATCATTTTCTAAAAACCATAACGACATACATCTCGTTATCAATAATTTACAAAGTTTGATATTTGATAAAAATTTTACAATTCTTATGTTAATTGTAATTATGGCTATCATGGATATGTTATGGATTCAATTTATTTTCTAACTGAATATGAGCAGTCAGTTGAAAGCGCTTGAAAATGAAAAATGCAATAAATGGCAAAGGGAAAATATCGATCATTCTTGTTTGAAAAATAAATTCTTGTGTAAACTTGTATAAAGTTAGAGAGATGTTGAAAGTCGATACAATGCTATACCAAATGGAGATGTCAACTTTTCTTCCTACAATGTCTAAGGCTCCAACTGTAAGAAAATTAGTCATGTTCGCTCTACTTGTAAATATCAAATAGCTAGTAGTGAAACTTGAAGTTGTATAATTGTCGTGACTTGTAATTTTGTTATTTTGTATTTATTGGAAGCACAAAATGATTTATTAGATTTTGTAGTCATTGTGTTATTTTCGCTTTTATGCTATTAGAACAAAGTTAAAGTCTTTTTATGTTGTTATATTTTTTTCACATTACAGACAAACGACTTTTATATCGTTATAGTTGACGCGTATGTCGTTTCAATATGAAAAAATGCATATATTCATATAACGACGTTGAAATTGTTCCTGAAACATAAAATGATATTGATGTCGTTTCAATACGAAAATTGCACTAATTTACATAAAAATATTGAAATCGTTCCTGAAACATAAAACGAAATTAATGTTGTTCTAGTATAAAAATATGCCACTTTATTGATTTTCATAATGGCATTGAAGTCATTATAGACTAATAATATGACATGGATATCGTTATATAAAAAACTTACTTAACGCACACGACATAGGGAACTGTTGCGCTTACTTCCAAGGGACCATTTGCTCTCGAGTGGTAATGATATTGATATCATTATATATATCTATATTTTTGAAGTTATTATTCAAATTTGAACGATTTCAAACACGTCAAATTTGTACTAAAACAATATGGACATTGTTATGTTATTTCGTGGTTTGCTACATAACGATATAATTATCATTTCAATACAATTTTGACAACATCGATATCATTTCAGTTTAAATCATAAATAAAACAACATATATATCATTTAAGTTTATATAAAAAAATATACATATCGTTTCTACTAAAAACAACAATTCAACGATCCACGACCACCCGACATATATTTGACATATATGGGACGATTGAAATAGGTCAACAAGTGGATTTGATCTCACTCAAAAGAAACTATGGGAACATTTCTGTTCCCACAATTGTATACAACATCCGAACTATTCCTATAAGAACAAGTACTTTCGATTGTTATTTCTAAGTCATTTGAATTTCATCAATCCACTTGATGACCTCTTTCGACCGTCTTAGGTATGTTAAAGACGTGTTGAGCGGTTGTGGACGGTCGAATCGTTATTTTTAGTCAAAACGATATAATTAACGTTTTATATGAAAAGAAACGATATTTATGTCGTTATAGTCATTATTTGAACTGGAACGATTTCAAACTCGTCAAATTTGTACTAAAACGATATGAATGTTGTTACTTTATTTACGAGTTTGATACATAACGGCATCATTATCGTTTCAATACAAGTTTGACGACGTTTATATCATTTTAGTTTAAATCATAACTAAAACTACATACATATCGTCGCAGTTAAAATAAAACGATAATTATACCGTTTATGCTAAAAACAACGATTTGACCGTCCACCACCAGACATGCATCTGACATACGTAGGATGCTCAAAATTGATAATCAAGTGGGTTTGATCACACTCAGAAGAAACTATGGGAATATTTCTGTTTTCACAATTGTATACAAAATTCGAATTATTTCGACAGAAAGAAATATCTTCATTCGCTCTTTTTAAGTCATTCGAGTGGTATCAACCCACTTGAAGACTTCTTTCGATCGTACTTGGCATGTTAAAGATGTGTTGAGTGGTTGTGGACGATCAAACGTTATTTTCAGTCAAAATGATATAATTAACGTTTTATATGAAGATAATCGATATCTATGTCGTTATAATCATTATTTGAACTGGAACGATTTAAACTTGTCAAATTTGTACTAAAATGATATTTATGTCGTTACTTTATTTGTGAGTTTGATATATAACGACATCATTATCGTTTCAATACAAGTTTGACGAAGTTGATATCGTTTTAGCTTAAATCATAACTAAAACTACATACATATCGTTTCAATTAAAATAAAAGGACAATTATATCGTTTCTGCTATATATAACGATTTGACTGTCCACGACCACTAAACATGCATCTGACATATGTAGGATGATCAAAATAAGTAATCAAGTGGGTTCGATCTCTTCAAAAGAAACTATGAGAACATTTTTTGTTCTCATGATTGTATATCACCTTTAAAATATTCAGACAAAAAGTATTCTTGTTTGCAGTCATTCGAGTGGTATCAACACACTTGATGACATCCTTCGATCGTCTTACGTATGTTGAAGGCATGACGGATGGTTGTGGACCGTCGAATTGTTATTTTTAGATAGAACGATATAATTATCATTTTATATGAAAAGAAACGATATCTACGTCGTTATACTTGTGATTTGAATTGGAACGATTTCAAACTCGTCAAATTTGTACTAAAACAATATGAATGTCGTTACTTTATTTGTGATTTTGATAATAAAGATATCATTATTGTTTCAATACAAGTTTGATTACGTTGATATTGTTTTAACTTAAATCATAACTAAAACTACATACATATCGTTTCAATTAAAATAAAACGACAATTATATTGTTTATGTTAAAAAGAACAATTCGACCTTTCACGACCACCTGATGTGTATTTGACATATGTAGGATGATCAAAAAGATAATTAAGTGGGTTTGATCTCCCTCAAAGGAAACTATGAGAACATTTTTGTTTTTATGATTATATACCACATTCGAACTGTTCCAATAGAAAGTATCTTCGTTTGCTCTTTCTAAGTCATTCGAGTGGTGTCAACACACTTGATGACATCTTTCGATCGTCCTACGTATGTTGAAGGCATGACAGGTGGTTGTGGACGGTCGAATCGTTATTTTTAGATAGAACGATATAATTATCGTTTTATATGAAAAGAAACAATATCTATGTCGTTATACTTGTGATTTGAATTGGAACGATTTCAAACTCTTCAAATTTGTACTAAAACGATATGAATGTCGTTACTTTATTTGTGATTTTGATACATAACGATAACATTATCATTTCAATACAAGTTTGACGATGTTGATATCGTTTTAACTTAAATTATAACTAAAACTGCATACATATTGTTTCAATTAAAATAAAATGACAATTATATCGTTTATATTAAAAATAACGATTCGACCATCCACGACCACCAAACGTGCATCTGACATATGTAGGATAATCAAAATAGATAATTAAGTGGGTTTGATCTCACTCAAAAGAAACTATGAGACCATTTTTGTTCTCATGATTGTATACCACTTTCGAACTATTCAGACAGAAAGTATTTTCGTTTGCTCTTTCTAAATCATTCGAGTGGTATCAATCCACTTGATGACATCTTTCGATCGTCCTACGTATGTTGAAGGTATGACGGATGGTTGTGGACGGTCGAATCATTATTTTTAGCTAGAATGATATAGTTATCGTTTTATATGAAAAGAAACGATATCTACGTCATTATACTTGTGAATTGAATTGGAACGATTTCAAACTTGTCAAATTTGTACTAAAACGATATGAATGTCGTTACTTTATTTGTGATTTTGACACATAACGATATCATTATCGTTTCAATACAAGTTTGACGATGTTGATATCATTTTAACTTAAATCATAACTAAAATTACATACATATCATTTCAATTAAAATAAAACGACAATTATATCGTTTATGCTAAAAATAACGATTCGACTGTCCACGACCACCAGTCGTGCATCTGGTATATGTAGGACGATAAAAATAGATAATCAAGTAGGTTCGATCTCCCTCAAAAGAAACTACGAGAACATTTTTATTCTCATGATTATATACCACATTCGAACTATTCAAACAAAAAGTATTTCGTTCACTCTTTTTAAGTCATTCGAGCTCTATCAATTCACTTAATGATATTTTTCGATCGTTCTACGTATGCTGAAGGCATAACGATGATTGTAAACGGTCGAATCTTTATATTTTGTTAGAATAATATAAATATCGTTTTATATGAAAATAAATGATATCTATGTCATTATCATTGTGATTTGAATTGGAATGATTTCAAACTCATTAAATTTGTACTATAACGATTTGGATGTTGTTGTCTTATTTTGTGGGTTTGATACATAATCATACTATTATCGTTTCAGCACAATTTTGATAACATTGATATCACTTTAATTTAAATCTTAACCAAAACGATAAATAAAAACAATAATTATAAAAACGACGATTCAATCGTCAACGGTCAATTATATGTAAATTTCAATTACATTTAATATCGTAGTTATAACGTTCTAGTGTAATCACTTCTGAAACGATATGTATGACATTATAGTTACAATTGAATAGGAATGATATCATTGTTGTCGAAAATTGTATTGAAAGGACATAAACGTTGTTTACTTATTCCATAGCGTGCGCTTAAACCTGTTAAACAGTGAAGTAATGTGTATTCGATATCGAAACGACATATACATCGTTTTCTATTCTTCAGAAACAAGTTCAATGTCGTTATACAAATCAGTTAAGTAGAGTGTGTTTGATTCTGAAATGATATCGAAGTCGTTTTTTTGTGTCAGGAACGATTTCAATGTCATTATGCAAATCAGTGAAGCGGTGTCAGCAGCTCATTTCTATTCCACATTTTTATTAAGTTGATAAGTTATATTTTACGATTTCTTCAAATTGTAATATCTTCGTGCTGACTTATCCGAATCGACTTTTTCTCGAGTCGAATAGTTATTATTAATTACAAGCTTTAAAATGAGTACAATATCGATATAGTGCATCGCTTTTTATTAAAATCTAATTATTGGACTTTAAATAAGATATAAATTTAAAAATATTTTTTTGTCCTTTTTTTTCCGAATATAACGATAAAATTTATTTTAAAAAATTTCGTATGTTATAATATGTGTCTAATGAATAAATGACTCAATAATTATTTTCGACTAGTTGCTAAGTTGTGGACAATGTTAAAACTTTGGGTGCATTGGAGATCAATTACGAAAAATAGATTACCTTAAACTTAAAAAGAAGAGTTCGAATTCTAAAGAGAAGATGATTTTGAAGAAGAAGATTTTTTGAATTTAAAGGAAGAGAATGTTGTGTGTGTTAGAACATAAATGCATAGTTATTAGAGTTAACCCGAGATCAACTAAAAAAAACCACCTGGTCAATGGTTCAATCGGTGGGTTATTGTTAAATTTTAATTTTAATTATAATTAAATTTTATTTTTGAAGTGAGAATAAAATAATTTTTTGAAATGTAATATATATATTTTGCTCATAAAAAACAAAGGATCATCACTTGTCATAATGGTTGTGGAGTTAAAATATTTTTTTACAATTCAAGGTTCAAATCACGGCTCCAACAAATTTAGAAAAAACTTCAATCTCTTTTTCATTTTTGTTTTATAAGTTAAGGGTAAAGAAATGTTTTGACACTTTTAAATAATTAAAATTCCTTTTATTCTTGTAAGTTTGGTTAAAGGAAAATGTAGGTGGCCATCCAACTCATTTCCCCCAATGATTATCACCTTCACTCCCTAAAATCAACCGACCTACAGCAAAAATCGGCACTCCGACGGCATTCCGGTAGAAAATTTCGGCAGCATACACTCCTGATTCCACTTCCAACGTTGTTACATTCCGGCGGCACAATTTTGTATTTGCAGTGCTCCCTCCTTGTTCATTGTTTATTTTTTCTGGCTTATCATATTTTGTCATCTCTTATTAAGCACTTGGATGAGTGAATTTGCTCGTTAAAGTTGGATGGGTGATTTAGGCTCCCTGCTACCAGTGACATTTGCTCGTTACTTTTTGTTACAAAGAAGAATGTTTGCTATGGCGGAATTAGTTGTATTATAATCTCTTATTTATTTGCTTCTATAATACAAAAATCGTTCTTACTCTCGCGCTTCAGGATATAGATATTATTTTAACGCTTTATCGGCACTTGGACTTTTCGAGATGTCTAGGCTAAAGATTTGCTCTTGTAGAAATCAAGACTTATACTGCTGATGAAGTATATTGATAACTTTAGAAGAGCAGATTATTCTTGAATTCTACTTCTACAAACAAGTGTTTTTGATATGGGATTTCTTGAATTCTTGAATCCTGCTACATCTGACATTGTGATGAAAGGTTAAAGGTAGTTAATTTTAGGTTCAGAGGCTGCAAAGTTAAGCAGCATATTAGGGCAGTGTGTCAATTCGAAGTCCTTAGATTGACTTGCCATATTTGTTTACTTGTCTTTCTTTATATAGTTAGAAACCCCGACAAGCTGCACTTGCTTCTTATATCCGTTTGGGATAGAGACCTCTGGTAGCTTCTGCCTGGCTTTTATCATCTGGTGGATTATTGACATCGAAACATGCTCATTTTCCTCGAGCTTTGCTGTAGTATGGCCATAAACTTTCTGGGGGCTGGCTTACATTGCTGCAGGAGTGGGGATATGCATTGGATAATGTTTTATCTCTTAGAAAATGCAACAACTGCTTGGATTAAGCTTGGCATGTAGAACAGAACAAAAATAATAGAAAGTTGAAAAGTTTATAAAGGATCTCCGGAAACAATTATTCTCTTGTCAGAAAAGGCTTATACTAACTCTTTGAAAGTAAGAAAAATCAGTTTTGAAACTATTCATGTGCATTTTATCATGCAATTTTAAGTTTCAGCAGCCTATTGCTGGCAGACTAACACAAAATCAATGGGTCAGATGAAAAATATTATAATTAACTGAACAATTTAATAAAGTATACCGTTTCTGTGCCTCATGCTTTACTTATTGAGGAACCATGCTTCAACATTATCAAACGGGGAATTCTCTTTGCTTTGTCATTAGGCATACCTTTTAACAACCATGATTGGTACTTTCTGTTTATTATACATAAATGTATTTACTTTTGTATTTGATCAGATCAATCAATTTAAATCAGGATTTGCTTTACTCATTTTCCCTTCGGTGTCATCTAGTTTGTATACAAAGTCCCTCTGCTTCTATTAACTTACGCATGACTACTTTTTTATGTGACTACATATAACAATTATGATGAATAGGGCAATGCTAGAGCAGGTGGAGGTTTCTTCAGGGGACTCTTCTTCCCCAGCAGATGATGACGTTGAAGAATGCAAGCAGCCCAATGCAGATTATTCTGTGGATCAAACTACCAAGGAATTAACATCTGAAGGTAATGAAAATATGTTTTGATATTGAAATGCAGGTCTGATTTGACTTTATTTGTCTCTGCATCACCTATCAACCTTGTTTTCCTTGTAGCTATTACTGCTGTTTGCTTTTCAGCTATTGCACAATTGAATTAGAATCAGCTATGATAAAAAATAATATTGTAGTATAATGGTTGTACCGCGAACAGCGTTTCGCTCCTCATATCGGTCGGTGACCCCTGGATGCCAAAGGCGCTGTTGGGGTAATTGGTCCATGAATTTATCTTCTGATCCAGCTGCAGTTTATGAACAATATCAGAACTAGAAAATAAGTGTTGTATTTGATTGATGAAAATAGGGAAAATTACAGAATTGGAAAAGAAACCATAGCCATTCGAGAGGGCTAAAACTTTCCTAAAGGTCTCCCTTCTACTCACTCAATAATTTCCCCCCTCTGTTGCTAGCTTCTACTTTATTTATAGCTCTCATCAAACTAACTAAGTCTAGTCATCTCCCCCTTCTTTTCTAGATTCTATTATGCCTAGCCAGTTGGTCCGTCCTTCTTCTGGGTCCTACTAGAATAGGTGAGGCATAGTAGGAGGTCTATCATTACCCCCGGGTTTCAAAGACACCTTTTCCTCTAGATGTAAGTCTGGGAAGTGTTGCTGAATTAGTACTTCACGCCTTGGAGGCTGACGTGCAAGGAATTGGTATATTCCGAGGCCAGCTTGGGTTTGGCAATCCATTCCAAAATAGCATCAAGTTTTGGGATGATTCAGTTTTCTGCTGTTTGTTCCTTAATCTTGCACAAATTGAACAGAGAATGGAGAATCTCATGATGTATTTGGGATAGGGCACCTTCTTTAAGAGTGAGGTTAGATGCCAAATCCTTTATTGCATCTGCTCATTGAAGATTTTCTAAGCAATGAGTATCAGTGGACAGAAGATGAATACACTTCCATAACTTTGAAAGAATTGGAGGCTCTATCTTATTGGACATCTGGAAAAAACGACCAAGTAAACTTTGGCTACTCATGTAAGATCCTCGTGTTATGTCATCTGTAGCAAGCTCAAGTAGACAGGCCGCCGCTTTTTGCAGATTTCCCCAAGTAACACCAACCTTCCAAGATGATACGGATACCATAAGGGCTAGTAACCCAGCTGATGTTGCACTTCCAAGCCTAGCATTTAGAATTCCAGAGCCACACACACCTGATGCTATTTGGGATGCAAGTCCAGATGTGGAACCAATTATGCCAATAGATGTTAGGGATCCTAACTTCTTATTCTCTCTTATAGGTGAACATCTACGCAATGACTCCATATCAGAGTTCCCCCTTCGTCCAGATACCTTTGTAAATTTAGCCATCAAAAAGTTTACCTCAATTGTTTTCTTGTCACCGACCATTTTATTTAGCAGATCCACTACCGTTAATACAGTCCCCATTAAAACCTCGGAGCCTGTCTCCCCCATCCACAAAAGTTCATGGACCTGCCATTCCTTCTTCTTAGAGCGTTGACCACTGGAGTATTTTTCATCATCGTGAGGGCTTAACCCCTTCTTCAATTGCAGCTCAGGCCTAGAAAATCGCTGAATAGCGATCGAGAATTTGGGAAGTGATTGTATTAGGTTATCCCCCTTTATTTAAGCCCATTTCACCTAGGGCTTGATTAAGTGAATCTTTGCAGCCTTGTTGGGCCGTCGCCAAAACTAGGCCCACAGGTTTTACCATATGAACCCATTCATATTTCTCTTCCTTGGTAGTCTTCATCTTCTCCATTTTGTTGGGCAACGACAATCTGATTCAGAAAACTCCTGCACAGAGGAAATTAAGACTTCCATTATACTTTCTGACCACTTTTCTCTATGTATCCATTTCATTGTTGCCTTAGGGAGAAGCAAGGTAGCCATATTTTTTGGATTTCTTCCATTGACTACAACAGCTTTGTCATGCTCTGTTTTAGGTGTTCCACTAACCTCTCTATTCCTGATAAGCTCTGCAACTCAAATTTCAACCCCTTCATCTCCTTCTCCATGGCTTCCACCTTGCTGTTTGTCGTTGTTTGAGCCAGTAGGATCTACTGCTTTGAAACCAACTGATAGGGTTCCAGCTGCAGTTTATGAACCGTATCAGAATTAGAAAATTAGTGTTGTATTTGATTGATGAAACTAGTGAAATTGGAAAAGAAACCTTAGCAATTTGAGAGGGCTAAAACTCTCCTAAAGGTCTCCCTTCTACTCACTCAATAATTGCCCCCTCTATTGCTAGCTTTTACCTTTATTTATAGCTCTCATCTAACTAACTAATTCTAGTCATCTCCCCCTCTTTACCTGATTCTGTTATGCCTAGCCAACTGGTAGTCCATCATTCTCCTGGGTCATTCTAGGATAGGCGAGGCATATTAGAGGTCTATCACCTTCCTTTTCTTTTGCCCACTCCCCTTTCCTCCCATTACTAGGAGCCTCGCCCTCTTGACTTGATATGTTTATAAGGTCTTTCAAAGCATTGTGTAACGGACCGCTCATTCTGCCCTTGAGGTTCGGGGACACTCCAAGGTAACCTTTCCTACACATGCGGTTGGCAAGTTAAGATATGTAACATAAGCACAATATAAGGAGGTAGAGAGCTTGCCATCATAACTGTATAAGGAACATTGATAGTGCACTTCCGAGAATATAGTAATAAACCTGCAATAAGCAATCTTGCCATATCACATGGGTAGGGGAGTTCTCTAAGTTCGTGATGTGAGTTACAGAACTAGTTTCGTTACACTTGAACAACTAGAACTGTGTAACCTTAACGTTTTATAATTCTCATCCCTTACGAGAAAAGGTTAAGTCAACCTTCATTCACTAATAATCTAACTGATGAGGCTAAATTATAACAACTTTGAGAAGATGATTTGGAATAGAAAATATAAGGAAAACATGTAAGTTTAGGAGAACCCTCTTTGTATATAAAGGAAAACTTTACAATCTCTCTCAAGTATTCAACCCACTTAACTCTATATGATTTGCAAATGAGACTAGGCAAAACCTTGCAGCCTGTCATTGGTTGCAAGTTGCATTAACTTCCTTTGATCAAGTTGTATGTCCCTTTCCAACCTCATGTTATTCGGCATCAAATGACAAATCTCTATAATTCCTATGCAAGTGGACAAATCCTATAATAGCCAAATTGAACTTTGCGTCCTCCTTGACAACATCTTGCAAGTGGGACAAGTTGCCTACTTGCGTCCCCAAAACAACTGGCTGCAATCTATAGTATTTCTCCTCCTCAAAATGGTGGTTTTTGATTTAGAGAAATCTCATTTTCGTGCTAGCGTAGCTGTCTACGTCCTCGGCTTGCGCTCTGCTTGTGTAGTCTGTCTGCATTCTGTTCTGTTCGGTCGAAGTGGCCTATGCTGTTTTGTGGTTGCTGTCGGGATGGATTGGTTGCGATTTGGGAGGACATAAGTCACTCCCACCGACTGCCTATATGGCCATTGAAGTTCCGGGACACCCAAGGCAGCCTTTCCCGGTAGACAAGCTAAGATATGCAACATCAAGACAATATAAAGAGGTAGATAGCTTGCTATCATACCTGTATAAGGAACATCGTTAATGCACTTCCGAGAGTATAGCAATAAACCTGCAATAAGCAATTTTGTTATGTCACATGGGCAGGGGAGTTCTCTAGGTCCGTGACTCACTCCCCTACAGCGCCTAATGCCCTCATAGCGGACGTGTCCTTTGTCTCTCCATGCATTGCATGCTCACTCCAAGTTAGTCGGTCCGAAAATTCCTCCACAATTACGGCATCATCCCCCTAATGTGCAAGCATCTACAATGTCCCTGTACCTCTTCCCGCAGTACCTCGTACATGCCGTCTTCAACACCACCTTCACCACATGCACCTCTACATTTGTTCCTGAGTGGACGGCTCTTCTGGCCGTTTCATCATCGTGCATGTCGAAGTTTATCCGCAAATGCTCCCACAATTCAATTTCTACAGCAATGCCTCGATCATGCCCTTGCGAAACAAACGTTCATGCAGTAGGCAAAACTGTATAACACATGTCCCAACATCCATCATTCTCAATGCTTTCCATCCTCGATTCCGCTTGCTTGCCAACTACTTTACCACATGTTGGCGGTCCCAAAATCTTATCCACAGGAACGCACGCCATTAGTCTTGGATAACCAACAACACAACATTCGGAGTGGTCCCGCTCTGATATCATGTGTAACGGACTGCCCGTTCGGCCCTTTGAGGTTCTGGGACAGCCCAAGGTAGCCTTACCCACATATGCGGCGAACAAGCTAAGATATGCAGCATCAGCACAATATAAGGAGGTAGAAATCTTTCCATCATACTTGTATAAGGGACATCGTTGGTACACTTCCGAGAATATAGCAATAAGCAATCTTGCCATGCCTCATGGGTGGGGGAGTCCTATAGGTTCGTGACTGGTGGCTTGCATAACGCGTCATTAGAGAGCAGAGAAAAGCGCTTAATCATGATTCAAACTTAGCAGTTGTGAAAGCGATAAACAATACGCTAGGAACATTTTCATTCCTTAGCTCATTCATTGTAATTGTAACTTGGTCATGGATTTTCAAATTTCCAGCAGATATTTGAAAAAAAAAAATAATGCATCCCAAATAGAGAACGGCAAGAGAAATTTGAGAACTTTGTTAATGTGCTGCCCCTGATCTGTGCTTTCCAGACTTCAGTTGCTCCTTTCCAACCTTACTTCTAATACCATCCCTTTCACTCTTGGGTTTGGGGCTCATTCCTTGATGACATGGCCAGGCAGCTGTGGGGAATATCCTATTGTTTGTCATTGGAAATTTTCTGCTTTCTTCAAGCAATTTTAGGGTAGCTCATGTTTTGGTATACAAATTTTAAATCTCCATCTGAGGTTGGAAAACCTAATTTAATACCTAACTAGCTCTTAACCCATTCATTGCACTAGATCATCATATGTGTTGATAGATATTATCTGTTTGTGCTTGTAATAGATGAATTCCGGTGAAGTAAACTGGCAATTTTTTTAACTGAATGATATTTATGAAGAAGAACAAATGGTACTTGATTTTGGTACCTGTTAATCGATAACTATTGTTTAACTTACTTGTAACACTTCAATTTTTGATGAACAAATATAGGTTAATTTGAAAATTCAAAAACAAAAGAACTTAATCAATGGCACTCTTGGTATTGTGCTACTGCGACCTCATGATTACTTTAATTGCGCATAACTATAACCATCTTTCTACTTTGTTACAGCTTGAATTTTTATTTTTTATTTTTTGACTGAAAGGTACCTATCTTCTATAGTATCAAAAAATAGTGAAACATGCTATAGTAATCTTTTTCCTTCTTTTCGTTAAGTAGGCTGCTACACTTTTAACTTCTTCAGTGTATTATAAACTTCTTCTGTAGTATACAATTATGCATTTTATTGCTTTCTTCCAAAACACTTTCTGTTCAAAAAGTTTTGTTTTTTCTTTAAACAACCATATATGAGTAACCAAATCTACTCTATCTACTTAATTTCTTGCACAAGAAGAAAGTCCATTTGCAAGACACATTTTTTGTTAAATAGACCACTGTAGATTTTTTATTTGTACAGGAAACTATTTTTAGAACTGCACTGCAAATTAAATACAGTATGCTCTTCATAAGCTCATTGTACATGTGGGAATGCATATGGCTCTTGTAAGCATTTATGCATTTACCCGAAGGCATTTAGAATTGCAAGGTAGGCATCTCATTTTTCAGATGTTTGCTGCCTTTGGTTGTGTTTTTGTACACAACTCATATCTATGTAAAGATATTTCAATCTGAGACCTTTTAGAGCCTCATCTGTCTGTGCTAGCTTTATTTAATATGTAATAGAAACTAGCATGCATCAAGAGTTCTATTTCTTCTTTCACTCGTGTCTAATAAATTGTGTGGTTGCTTTTTCTCCCATTTGAAGGTTCAGTGGTTTTCCGATCCCTCGGGTATCTTCATGAACATTATCACTATCAAACGAATTATACGATCTCTAGTCAAAGGTGGTGATTATATGTTAGTTGACCAGCACCCAAAAGAAAAAACGAATGAAAGAAATCCATGTTAAGATGACAGATCCATTTTTGGGTGTTTATATGCATGTGTGTGGATTGTAACTTAGATGCTAGATGAAATCGTGTTCCGAAATTGAGTTCGAAGTCAGTTAAGATTGATCTTGTTTTATTGATGTGAATCAATGTTTTGAAACCTCAATATCAGCAGTTTTGTTGCTTCAATTATTTACCGTTATGACTGCTGAAAGCAAAATTTTCACTTGATGCTGTGATTTTTAGGGCTTGTTCGATAGTGATTAAGAGAATTGATTTTTTGACCGTTAGAGAGAAAAAATTTTCATAATGTTCCTGCATATTGGCCTGTCTTTCATGAATTACAATATTATCTTTTTTTCTGTTTTAATTCTTTGGTCATGAAAATCAAAATACATAGACTGTACTTGCAATGCAGACTGGCTGCTCAGAAGAGCACAAGCGTACCAAGAATACATGAACCTGATCCCAGTACCAACTCTGCGTGGCTCCCTTATTCCCTTTACCTCGTGGATAGGACTGGGACAATCCTTGAAACAGTTATACGGACAACCTCTGCACTACCTCACCAATGTTTGCTTAAAACAATGGGATCAGTCCAGGATTGGAGGCAAGGACGAACAAATTCCATTGGATACCATAATCCATCCTTCTAAAGCCGAAGCCAGCATCTGGCTCATGGAAGAGATTCACCGGCTTACTACATCTCATCATCATCTTGCTGAACTCTGGCTTGCTGATCCCATGCATCATGCTTTTATTGATCCCATTATTCCTAAGCTGAGAGCGTGAAGAGAAAAACCAGTAGAGAAAGAAGGCGGCAAGAATCACTGAATTTTCCCATGTAACTAAGATTGATGAAGCTATTTCCTGACCGTATGTTTTGCTGGTCTTAGATTTGACTGTTTCTCTCAAAAGTTTTATGCATACTGATGCATTAATGTGCTAGGACTGGATTTAGTTACTCTCCTTAGTAAACATTGGACTTGTACGTCTGCCTGTAAGTTCATGATGTTGGATGGTTGCACCATGTAGGATAGCGCGACTGTCTCATCAAAAATTTTCTCCAGTAATGCAAGAAGCAAGAAATTCAATACACGTATAGAAATAACGTTATCTTCAAGAATAAATGCAATTCTTCACATAAGAAATAATCCTAGTTTCAGCCAAAAATAAAAATAAAAACTGCTTCTTCTAATTTTAAATCTGACTTTTCTTCATAGTAAAAATGTTGTAACATAGCTAAAACGAGAGGTTAAATAGAAGGAATGGATGGCGTAGTCATCACTTCACGTTTAGCAGGCTGGCTATACGAGTGACTGGAAAAATCTTTTATTATTAAAACTATTCTTTTAAACTAAGTAATTTTCTTAATTTTTACTTTTCTTCATAAAATTTGAAAGAGAGCATTTCGGGTTGGCCCTTATTTGAGCCCCATTTTTTTAAAACTCATTTTCAACCATATACTCTCCAATAAAATAATTTTACACTTAAATAAAATTAAAAAAAAATCTTCTCTTTTAAACCCAATCTCTAAAAAATCAGTATATGAAAATACACATTTTCTCCAAAATGGGGCTCAAAAAATGGCTTGAAAAGATTAACCGATCTTTTTTTTCAGTCATTTTTTCTTCTTTTATGCCAGTTTTTAAATGCTCCTTTATTGAACCTACTTAGTTATACTATAATTGAGGGTAGGATTTTCATTCCAGATACAAAATTCATCAATGCAGCTTCAAAGGGACGAAATCAAAAGTTTGAATGAATTAAAAAGTAACAATAAAATTTGTGAGAAGAGATTTATAATCGGGAATTTGCGCAAAGGTCGCAAACCTTTGCCTTCAAAGTACAAATGGACCTGAAAGTTTGTTTCTTGGCATGAATGTTCTTGAGCGTTTTGATGCGCAATTGTTCCTTTGTTTGATATAAAGACGATATGTCCTCATTTTTAATTGGAAAAATTTAGGCTTGTCTCCGACGTTCGTTAGTCCACGTTAACAAGATTTCTATAGTAGTAGACCCTATTTGATTCACATTGTTTGGAAAATATACATTCTTAAATAATGATTTGACATCATTTTAATTATACATTCTTCAATAAAATAATATTATACACAAATTCAAAATTTTTCTTTATTTTTTAACCACATATTTCTTGTTGATGTCAAAATTAGCAAGGATAATTTTGAACCAACTTTAAGAAAAAAGGCTATTTGTGTTTAGAAAAGATCACAAAGATGTCATTTTAGTGTGATTGTGCCATAAGTCGTTATATGAAGTTGCTATGCCTTTACAAGGGTCCTATTCAACTATTTATACATAGTTTCAGCCGAAATTATATCAAATCAATCAAATCAGCAACAGTGCCTAGCTTGGAACTCGGGTCACCAAATTCTCCTGTAATTGGTCAATGAGGCCGGTGGTCATATGTCAATGTATTACCCAGGTAATGATAACCTGTAAGGGGCTGGAGTTCGAGGACTTGGAATTGGTTGTTCCGGGAGGCGATGACATCACCTGTGGCAAGTATCTTTGATTAATAGGGTGATGTGACAAGGGATAATTGCCACGCGTTTTATATAATGTGATTTTATACCGCAAGCGCACGGTGTCAAATTTTGTAGTATATTAAGGAATTGAAAAGTGTCGAACCCACAGGGATTGATATTAGACTTCCACTGAGTACCATAATTATGTCCGCATTTACCTTATTTAGACAATCGGATGTTAAATTGATGTTTGAATGCTAAACTAATGTCGATGAATTTAATAATGCAAGAATAGTGAGGCAATTTCTAAAGATTAAATCAAAATTACGTAATGTTTAGGGAGTGATTTCACCGTATTCTCGACATAATTCTCAATCCCTATAGATATTTCAATTAATTATTTTTCGAATTCATAGGCAAGAATCCTAAATTAATTCTATCTCCCCCTCTCGAGCGTCAAATAGAACCTATCTTTATATTTCAACCCCAATATCTCTATTCCGAGTTAATTTTATAAAAATTATCACGCACTTGGTTCTTGTTTTACCCTCAAAGATTCGCACTTTCTCTCGAAATCTACAAATCTAGGTTATATTGTTCTTATATCACGCCTAAATTTTCCTCTCTCGAGTGTCAAATTTAGAACATCAATTCATTCAATTGATGATCAGGCAACTGAAAGCATTAAACAAGAACAATACAAATCAATTCTGAAAAATTAAATGGAAATACTATAAAAAAATTAAATCATGTCTCAAATAGGTTACATCAAACCCTAGATTTAATAGTTTAGTTCATGATTGAGAAGAAAAATACAATAAAATACAAACTAGAGTGCATGTATAAGAGAGAGAGAGAGAGAGAAAAAACTCAAGTTGCTGCTCTATTTCTCAATCTTGTTGCTTGATTTCTCAGTTTTCTCCCTTCTTCTTCTCCAAAATCGGGTCAATCTTTTCTCAATTGGTGCCTCTCTTTTTCTTGCCTCTTCAGCCGTCTAACCCCCTTCTCTCGTTCTTCATCTTGGTATTTATATTTTCCAAGAGTCCTCAAGGGTTAGGGTATGATTTTTGGGCCGAAAAGATAATTAAAAATCCGGGTTTTAACGTTTCGGGATTTGCTTGGGCGCCACGGCGCCGCGATTGTTATGGTAACTGGCGCCGTGGCGCCAGAGTTTCTGCTCGGTTCTGCCTGCATTGGGCGCTATGGCGCCGTGGTGCCTAAGTTTCTGCTTGAATTCATCGCTTTTGCTTCCCTTCACTTTGTTTTCCAAGCCTATTTTCCACTCCAATCTTATTCAATACTTGCTTATTCATGCTCCATTTCATTGATCATTATTTTTGCTCATCACTGGCTCCGAATAGTGGTATTTTCTCGAGAGTTGTCCAAACTACAAAACAACATGAACACACACATCAAAACGTTCAAAAATGCCCAAAAACACATCAAAAAAATGTGATTTAGAAGCTTTAGTTTAATGAGTGAATTACACTCATCAGCAATCATGATGTTTTTCTAAGATAACGGCGGGTAACTCCGACTTGGGAGTGTGGGCCAAACTTACGTTTAATTGAGGTGGAGTTAGCGAACTGTTTATACTAGATCGGAGTTCGGATATCAACAGTTATCCCCAGGTCAGCTCTACCGTAGGGGGGCTGACCTCAATGATGCTTTCTCCAAGAAGTACATTTATGGCTGTGACAAGTGTCATCTTTTGAAGTGGATGAGCTGTACACCATTTATAAGTAGCTTCTTCAGCAACCTTGGCCAAAACTACGTCGTTTTGTCTCCCAAATTTTTGGACCGTTGATATTTTCTCTCTATTTCTGGATGAATGGCTTAGATCGCGCCCTCTCATCTTCCCTTTCTTTAAATCCGTTTTTGGTCAATTATTTCTCTTCCTATTTCACTGATTTTACTTTCTCAGATATTTGGGCGATTTCCCTAAGTTTGTATTCCCGTATTCGAGTGAGGTCCTTTTCTTAGTTCGTCTCCCAAGTATCCTTTTGTTCTTATCTGTTGCCTCCTTTCAGTTTGTGCTTCTTTTCTTAGTTTATACATGAGTTCGGACGAGTCTAGAGTTCATTCCTGGGTCAACCAGCAGGAAGAGTCAGTCTCCTTCTCGACGAGTTTGTCTTCTAGTTGTAGGGAAGTTTTTACCCCCATTCCTATTTCCGTAGTTAACCCAACTGACCTAGGGCATCCTGTGATGGACTTAGGACGTGAGGGTTCCAAGGGAACAGGTAGATCCAGTAAGGATGTTGAGGAGAGTAATTCTGAGGAGTGGGGACGAGTTCTTATAGGTCGGTTGTGACAGGGGATGTGTTGGCTAGCTGGCGAGCTAAATACACCATTCTTAGTTCGGTAGTTATGATAATACCAGAGCCATCTGACTGAGCTGACACTCCTCCTGAGGGATGTATTGCTCTGAACTCGGCTATCTTCCAGGCTGGCCTTAGGCTTCCTTTTCCTAGGGTGATTCGTAAATTCCTTTCTTCTTGGAGTATAGCTCCCACGCAGCTATGCCCTAACGGGTGGCGAATCTTAATAGCCACCCTTATTCTGTGGGACCAGATGGGAAATCCCGAGTTGAGTGTCCAGCAATTCGATTCACTGTTTACTTTTAAAGAGGATGGGAAGAACTCGGGCTGGTGGTACACAAGCGTTAGGCCAAGGACGGGAGGTTTTTTGGTGTTAAACACTCCTTCCTCAATTAAGAAATGGAAGGAAGAATGGTTTTATGTATCGGGGGAGTGGCTGTTTCATTCTGCTGAGGTGAATAGGGAATACGTGGTTCCCAAGATCTATCATTCGTTATGTAAGTGTCTTTTTGGATTTTAGTCTTTTAGCAAGGCGTGTGTTTGACGAAGTGCTGACCTCGGTATTTTTTCTTTGTGCAGATTACAAAAAGGAAATGTTAACCAAAGATACTCAGAGACGAGCTGAGAAAATAAGATCGTTACTTAAAAAGCAAAGGTCCTGTAAGTTTGTAATCTCAAATTCGAACTTATACCGGGCCGGATTGCTGCAAGTACGAGCTTCAAGTTCGGCTCCATCCAGTTCAGGTAATATTTTGATCTTCATTCGCGGTTATAATTTCTTTATGCATATACATATTTTTTGTGCATTTCGCTGCTTTCTCAGGTCATCGGGACGAAATGCAGGGCTACAAGGTAGCCAAGGCGGCGGTTGCAGCTAAGGGAAAAAAGAGAGAAGTCCCAGAACGGATGGAGAGCCGTTCTGAAGAGGTGAAGGAGGAGGTTCCGTTAAAGAGAAACCGATCTGCGCCCCCAGCATCACTGAGAATTCCAGAGGCAATGCCTTTGCCAAGCTCGACCCTACCGTCCCCTTTGTTGCCATCCCCGGTTGCCCCTCCTATTGTCGGGACCAGTTCTGAGAACTTGCAGGATCGGTGCCCAGATTTATAGAGGTCGAGCTGGGAATGTCTGGTGGGATACAGACCAGAGATATTTCTGGACTATCTCCGAGCTCCTTCTCCTTCCAGGGGCAAGACTGCTGCGCTCACTTCACCTTTGAGGGAGTCGGCCAATCTACTTACCCGGAGCTGGGGTGAGAGAGAGCAGGGCTATCTGAACGAGATGCCCATTGGTGAGACTTTGGTCACTGCTCAGCTCCATGGCCACCGATTAGTTTTATACATGATGGCAGTGGCGGACAAGCTATACCTCTTACTTGATTTTTGATTAATTTTATAAAGGTTTTAATGACTTACTTGATTTTTGATTTTTGGAAAACAGGTGAAGTCTGAGCTGAAAAAACTCGTAGAGGCAAAAGATCAGGCCTTCAACCTTTATAATAGCATGTAGGCTAAAAAGCCCAGTTCGTTCGGAAGGAGAAGGAGTACGAAGAGAAGCTGAACTCCAGACTCAATGTCGAGGAGAGGTTGATGGAGGAGATCAAGGCGTTGAGGGCCTCGGAGGAAGAGGCCAGAGCTCGGGCAGAAGAGGAGCGAGGTAAAGTTAGAGAGGCCATCCAGAAGGTACAAGAGGCCAACGAAAGGGCAAGGCAGGCCATAAAAAGGGCTGAAGAGGTTGAGGCCAAGATTGATAGAGCGGTGGAGGCCTGGAAGGAGTCCTTCGAATTTGACATCGTGGCCCAGGATGTCTACGTGGTAGCCCTAGAGGAGTTGGTGGGGCACATCAGGAAGGAGAAGCCTGATCTTGATGTGGCCTTTCTAGATGAGGCACTGAAGGGGCAGAAGGAGGAGTTGCGGAGGTTGTAGGAGTCTGCTGGAGTCCGGGTAATATCGACAGCTCAGGATGTTGAAGATACTACCCTAGCCCCCTACGACCCTTAGGCGATTAAAAACATTATTTTTGGTATTTTAGTTGGTCAATTGTTTTTGACTTGCGATTGAACTTTGTTTTGACTGTTTATGACATTTTGTTTGGAATGGATAATTGTTTATGTTCAGTACAGCTTTTCCTCATAGACTTAGCAAAAATTGTAAGAGCGTTACAATAGTGTGTAGAATTACTTTGAATGAATTTCGCGTAATTGTGCAGTACTCGCTTTCCGAACCAGGCATATACATTGGGCATTTTTACCAAGTGTAGTAACATGTATGGCCTTAGCTCGTCCAACCGTGAAATGCCCAGCTCTATAGATTCCTTAGGAGGGGAGACTCCTTAGGAGGAATCTTCCACTAAGTGTCGCAGTACATACGACCTTAGATCGGCCTGCATATGGAGCAGGGGTTAATGAGATTCCTTAGGAGGAATCTTCCACTAAGTGTCGCAGCACATACGACCTTAGATCGACCTGCATATGGAGCAGGGCTTAATGAGATTCTTTAGGAGGAATCTTCCACTAAGTGTTGCAGTACATACGACCTTAGATCGATCTTCATATGAAGTAGGGCTTAATGAGATTCCTTAGGGGGAATCTTCCACTAAGTGTCGCAACACATACGACCTTAGATCGGCTTGCATATGGAGCAGGGCTTAATGAGATTCCTTTGGAGGAATCTTCCACTAAGTGTCGCAGCACATACGACCATAGATCGGCCTGCATATGGAGCAGGGCTTAATGAGATTCCTTTGGAGGAATCTTCCACTAAGTGTCGCAGCACATACGACCTTAGATCGGCCTACATATGGAACATGGTTTAATGAGATTCCTTAGGAGGAAACTTCCACTAAGTGTCACAGCACATACGACCTTAGATCGATCTGCATATTGAGTAGGGCTTAATGAGATTCCTCAGGAGGAATCTTCCACTAAGTGTCGCAGCACATACGACCTTAGATCGGCCTGTATATGGAGTAGGGCTTAATGAGATTCCTCAAAAGGAACCTTCCACTAAGTGTCGTAGCACATATGACTTTAGATCGGCTTGCATCAGCACATACGACCTTAGATTGGCCTGCATATAGAGTAGGGCTTAATGAGATTCCTTTGGAGGAATCTTCCACTAAGTGTCGCAGCACATACGACCTTAGATCGGCCTGCATATGGAGCAGGGTTTAATGAGATTCCTCAGGAGGAATCTTCCACTAAGTGTCGCAGCACATACGACCTTAGATCGGCCTATATATGGAGCAAGGCTTAATGAGATTCTGACAGATTGCTGAGTAAAGTGTTCAAAAGAAATGGAAATTCCTTTTTTATTGATGTGATTGACGTTACAAGGGGACTTTTTCCATTTACTAGTAGTATTGTTTAAGGTGTTCGGCATTCCAATGGTGGGGTAAGGATCTACCCCCAAGTCTTCCAGTTCATATACTCCTTTTAGCAGGACCTTTGTTATCAGATAGGGACCTTCCCAATTCGGACCTAGGCATCCACTGCCGATCTCTCTTGTGGGGAGAAATACTTTTTGTAAGACGAGGGATCCTACATCAAATTCTCTTTTTCGCACTTTTTGATTATAGTACTTGGCGTTTCGCTGTTTGTAAACGGCATTTTTGAGTTTGGCATTATTCCTTTTTTCCTCGGTTAGGTCGAGTTCCGTGCGAAGAGCTATGTGGTTCCTTTCTTTGTTGTAATCAGTTATGCGTAGCGAAGGAATGTTAATTTCTAGTGGGATCACGGTCTCTATGCCGAAAGCTAGTGAGAACGGGGTTTCGCCTGTGTTTGTCCTTGCAGTAGTACATAAGACCATAACACACTGGGGAGTTCCTCAGCCCATCCTCCTTTAAACAAGTCGAGTTTTGCTTTCAATGTGTGCTTAATAATCTTGTTAATGGCTTCGACTTGGCCGTTTGCCTGTGGATGGTTTGGTGATGAGAAATGTTTCTCGATGCCGAGCTCTTCGCAGAAATCCGAAAGTCGTGCATTGTCCAACTGTTTTCCATTATCCATAACAATGGAGTAAGGTATGCCGAACCTGCATATCACTGATTTCCACACAAAGTTAGTGGTTTTCTATTCGGTGATGGTGGCAAGGGGTTCTGCCTCGGCCCATTTAGTGAAGTAATCCACTGCGATGATGGCGAATTTTACACCTCCTTTTCCAACGGGCATGGGTCCAATTAGGTCAACCTCCCATTTTGCAAAGGGCCAAGGTGCTGTCACTAGGTTCAGTTCGCACGGTGGAGTATTTATGATGGGGACGAGGCGCTGGCACTCATCGCATCTTTTGACAAATTCAAGGGAATCTTGTCTTATTGCAGGCCAAAAGTATCCTTGTCGTATGATCTTGTGGGCTAGTGAGAGTCCGTCGGAATGGTTTTCACATATTCCTTCGTGAACGTCTTGCAGGGCGTGCTGGGCTTCCTCTTCGTTCAAGCATCTTAACAAGGGCGTGGAATATCCTCATTTGTATAGTATATTATCAATGAGAGTGTACTTGGCCGACCTTGTTTGGAGCTTTCTAGCCTCTGCAGAGTTTTCGGGGTATTTTCCGATTTTCAGGTAAGCGATGATCACGTCCTGCCAAGTTGGTTTGGGGTCTATCATCATAAGGACTACTTTATCCAGCTCGGTGGACGGTAGGGATATTCTTCCTAGGGAATGCTATCGAACTCCTCGATTCCCTCACTGGTGGCTAGGCGAGCCAATGCATCGGCGTGATTGTTCTGAGATTGGGGAATTTGTTTGACTTGGGTGGTTTTGAACCTTTCAAGTTCTTTTTTCACAACTCGTAGGTAATTGTCCATCCTATCTTCTTTCGCCATATATACACCGTTGACCTGATTCACGACTAGTTGGGAGTCGCTGTGTAGGATTAGGTCGGAGATCCCTAGTCTTGAAGCCATCATTGCTCCAGCAATAAGAGCTTCGTACTCGGTCTCATTATTTGAGGCTTTGAAGTCAAATGGAAAGGCTTCACAGAACATGCGGTGATTGGGGCTGATTAATACGATGCTAGCTCCAGATCCTTCTCCGATGGATGAACCGTCAACATAAAGTTTCCAAGGGGTTTCTTTTTGTTGTTCTTCAATTGGGACGTTACAGAACTCAAAGACAAAGTCGGCGAGTGCCTGGCCCTTTATGGAGGAACAAGGTGTGTATTTGATGTCAAATTTTCCGAGCTCCACTGCCCATTTTACTATCCCTCCAGAGGTGTCAGGCCTTTGTAGCATTTGCCTCAATGGAGAGTTGGTCAGGACCTCAATGGGGTGTTCTAAGAAATATGGCCTCAGTTTTCATGTTGCCATCAGCAGGGTAAATGCCAGTTTTTCTACTGCCGAATATCTGAGCTCGTCTTCATGGAGCACTTTGCTTACGTCATAAATCGGATGTTGAACGCCATTTTCTTCTCGGGTTAGAACGGCACTAATGGCGTGCTCTGAAACAGATAAATATATCCTCAAGGCCTCACCTGCCTTAGGTTTTGAAAGCACTGGAGGTCGGTCTAGTTGTCTTTTTAGCTCGTTAAAGGCGTCCTGGGATTCTTTGGTCCATTCAAACTTCTTTCCACCTCGTAACGTGTCGAAGAAGGGTTTGCAGTGGTCCATAGATTTGGAGACGAACCGACTAAGGGCGGCAACCCTTCCGATTAAACTTTGTACTTCTCTGGGTTTGGTTGGAGGCTTCATTTGGATGATAGCTTATATTTTTTTAGGGTTTGCCTCGATTCCTCGGTTGTTTACAATGTAACCTAGGAATCTTCTAGAACTGACCCCGAAAGCACACTTCCTTGGATTCAACTTCATTCCATACATCCTCAGTATATCAAACATTTCGGTTAGGTGTTGACAGTGGTCCTTGGCCTTGATACTTTTGACCAGCATATCGTCAACATACACTTTCATTATTTTTCCGATCTGCTGGGAAAACATGGAATTCACAAGTCGCTGGTAGGTGGCGCCAGCATTTTTGAGACCGAATGACATTACTTTGTAGCAGTAAAGACCTCGATTAGTTACAAACGAGGTATGTTCCTGATCCGGACCGTATATCGGTATCTGATTTTATCCGAAATACGCATCCATGAAGTTGAGTAGCTCTTGTCTGGTGGTGGCGTCCACCATTTGATCTATTCTCGGCAATGGAAAGTTGTCTTTGGGGCATGCTTTGTTGAGATCAGTGAAATCTATGCATACCCTCCAATCTTCATCGTGTTTTTTCACAAGGACCGAATTCGCGACCCACTTCGGGTATTTCGCTTCACGGAGGAAACCGTTGTTCAACAGCTTTTGCACCTCTTTGTTGAGTGCTTTATATCTTTCAAGATTCAGAGGTCGTCGTTTTTGCTGCTTTAGTCGAGTTGAAGGATCCACCTATAATTTGTGGCATGCAATATTAGGATCTATTCCTCTCACGTCACTGTGATCCCAGGCGAAGACATCGAGGTTCTCTTTAAGAAAAGCCACAATCTTGCTTCGGGTAGAGGGCTGTAACTCGCACCCGACTTTGAGTTCCTTTGTTTGGTCCTTGGCATAGACTCGAACTCTTTCTAGTTCTTCTACGGGTCTCCGCCTTCGATCCTGGTCCATGGGTCTAAGGGAATGAGTTCAGATTCCCATATGTTTGCCATATGTACCCCCGGGGAGTTGCGTTGATGGCTGACACAGGTTTTCCATTGGCATCTTTCAACGAGCTCCCTGTTTCCTTTGACTTCCCCCACACCATGGGGTGTGGGGAACTTGATATAATAGTGATATAGGAAAACTGCTGCTCTCAGGCTGAAGAGTAGGGGTTGTCCCATCACAGCGTCATAAGGAAAGGGGGTGTCGAACACCACGAACTCGGAGTTTGTTTTCAACTGTCGAGGTGCTGATCCAGACTCAACTTTGAGTTTGATTAATCCTTTGGCAGAAGTCAAGGCTCCACTTAATCCTAGGACCATATTTGGGTATGGTTGAAGAAAGTTAGCAGGGATACCCATCCATTTAAGGGTGTGGCTAAATAGGATGTTCAGAGAGCTTCCTGTATCCACCAAGATTTTGGGGATGGTTACCCGGCTACAGGCAACGAGATTACCATAACTCTGTGGTAAGGGTGTGGGTCTGTCTCCTTCTCGTCAAAAGATAGTTGCTCGTCTATGGCTTTTTTGAGATTCTTTTCCGTTATGCCGATCTCCGAGAGATCTGCAACGATTGGTCTCTTTGGTCTTACTTCCTCGGCTTGTGTGTTCATCTTACTCCTCAGAATGATGACTTGTGGCCTTGGCAGGTCGATGTTGCAGGCCCTTGTAGTAGCTTGATCCCCTTGGATAATTCTAGTCCCGTAAGGGGTGGGAAATTTCACGCAATAATGATAAATTGAAATGGCAGCCTTTAGTTCGTGTAAAATGGACCGTCCCAATATTGCATTGTAGTTGGACGGTAAATCGACCACCACAAAATCCGCTAAGATTCTTCTTTGGCGAGGAGCTTCGCCCAGCTCCACACTAAGGACTATCTGACCTAGGGCTTCGATAGGATCCCCAGAAAATCCCTGTAGCTTCCTTGGATACGGTTGGAGGTAGCGGACTGATATTTCCAACTGCCTCAAGGTTCGTGAGTACAGTATATTGACCAAACTTCCATTGTCCACTAGAGTGCGGTGGACTTTTACTCCTGCGACCATCATTGTGACCACCAAGGCATCACTCCGGTCTTGGAGGATTCCTTTAGAATCTTCTTCCGCGAACCAGAACGATTTAGGGTCAATGCTGATCCTAGGGATTTGATACCAGTAGTTCGGCACGGTTTTTGCACTTCGGGCTTGCTTTCGCCTGGCCCTTCTGGATCCTTCAATATATTGATTTCTGCTCACCATCATTTTGATTTTGGCATGTGGAGGTGGGTTACGATTAGGGATCGCCTGTTGGGCTCGTGTGGGGGCCCCCTGTAGCTGTGGCTGCTGCATCGTAGGTCGATCTGCTTCTTTTAGCTTGGCAACAAACTCCTGTAACCGGCCTCGTCGAATTAAGGATTCAACTTCCTCTTTTAAGTCCTGGCAATTATCAGTATAATGGCCCATCGTCCTGTGGTATCGGGAGTATCGTCCCTGGCGTTGTGCGGCCTGTCCATCCTTTAGGACTATAGGTCTGTGAAATGCTTCTTTTGTATTGGCTTACGTGAATACCTTTTCCAAGGAGGCTTTGAGTGGGTGGTACTCCCGGAACTTGTATGACTGAGCCCTTGGACGTTCTCTTTCTCTCCTGTCCTTCTTTCTTTCTGGTTGAGGACTGTGGCTTGGTTTTTTTTTCTTTCACCACATCACTGAGGTCAATTTCGCGTCTTGCTTCCTCTTGGTCAGAGGTTGCTTCTTCAGCGCTTATGTATTTCTCAGCTCGATTCAAGAACTCGTGATAAGTCCTTGGACCGTCTTCGTGTACTGACCACTAGAATCTCGTTTTGGGTCTTAGTCCTGCTAATACAGCCATGAGTGCCGCATCGTCAGATATTTTTTCCACTTCCATGGATTGTTTGTTGAACTTACTCAGATAGTTTTTGAGGGATTTACTTCTTCCCTGCTTGATGTTCACTAGACGTTCTTTGGGTGTAGTTCTAGCCTTGGAGCCCATAAACTGGGCCAAGAATGCCATGGCTAGGTCATTCCAATCTTTTGCCGACCTTTCGTGTAGTCTCCTAAACCATCTTTGGGCTTTATCTCCTAGAGTCAGGGGGAATGCCCGGAACATGATTGCGTTGCTTGCCCCCTGTAGTTCCATCTACGAGGTGTATTTGTCAAGGTGGCTGAGGGGGTCACTATCCCCTTTGTATGCGACGATCTGGGGAATTTTCAATTTTTCAGGCAGTGGTTCTATAAGGACATCCTCGGTGAAGGGGGAATGTTGTTTGGTTTGGTAACCTCCCGTGCCACCTTTGTTTTTAGCCTCCAGTTCGGCGATGCGTTTTTTAAGCGCGCTTAGTTTGGGTTCTGTTTGTTCCAAAGGAGGTTTCAGGTCGGTTTGTCCTTGCGTAGGGGTCAGCGAGTGGTGGGTCCCCAATCTGTCAAACACACTTGCAGTCCTTCTCACCTCAGGTTCCTTGCTTTTGACCTTGTTGGTATGGCTTCTTAATGATTCTCCTCTTGAAAAATGGAGGTCCTCCTGGTGGGGGGACGCTTTGCCTTTGTCCTTACAGGAGATTTCACCTCAGTATCTGGTGGGGACGAATGGGCTTGGCTCCTTTCCAGTCGTCCCACTGCATTTGTCAATTTTTCTAGGGCTTTCCTCATTGCGATCATTTGAGGGTCCTACCGTTGTGGAGAACTCAGTGGTATATTCATTTCATGAGGGTGAGTGTGAGATGGATTTTTGGAACTTGAGCTATGACTCATGTCTCTTGAATTTTTTTTTTTTTTTTTTTTTTTTTATGGAGCAAATGAAACTATTTTTCACAATTAGGGGCCCTCTTTCTAGCGCCAAACTGTTGATATCAAAATTAGCAAGGATAATTTTGAACCAACTTTAAGAAAAAAGGCGATTTATGCTTAAAAAAGATCACAAAGATGTCATTTTAGTGTGATTGTGCCATAAGTCGTTATATGAAGTTGCTCTGCCTTTACAAGGGTCCTATTCAACTATTTATATATAGTTTCAGTCGAAATTACATCAAATCAGCAACAGTGCCGAGCTCGGAACTCGGGTCGCCAAATTCTCCTGTGATTGGTCAATGAGGTCGGTAGTCATGTGTTAATGTATTACCCAGGTAATGATGACCTGTGAGGGGCTAGAGTTCGAGGACTTGGAATTGGTTGTTCAGGGCGGCGATGACATCACCTGTGACAAGTGTCTCTGATTGATAGGGTGATGTGACAAGGGGTAATCATGATATTTTTCTAAGATAACGGCGGGTAACTCCGACCTGGGAGTGTGGGCTGAACTTACGTTTAACTGAAGTGAGGTTAGTGAACTGTTTATACCAGATCGGAGTTCGGATGTCAACATTTCCCATTAATACACTATTCAAAAATACATTTTTTCCAAATTAATGTGGCTCAAACAAGGGCTGAAAAACTCAAATCCTCATAGATGAGGTGAAGGAATTGTTGTACAGTGCAAGAAACAATTTTGCAATGCACGAAGGAGTCCTTTTGGTCGAAGAGAAAGGTTGGAATTCGTGCCCATTAGCTATAGACTTCCTTATCATCTTTCGACTTAGCACTAAGCCAAATTACCGGTGCTTTCTAATCCAGTATATGTGATTCTTGTTGACACATATACTCGTGGCTGGTTGCAGAATGGACGATTTTAAAGTAGACTTTTCATTAATTAGAAAGAGAATATCGCCACGATTTTGTTCTCTCTTGCCGAAAGTATTCCAATTCCGAGAGCTTGCATCTGAAACATTTGCCTACTCAGCTACTTTTTGTTCATTTCTTTCATGAAATCAATTCGCATAGTAGCCTTTTTAATCAATACAAAAGATAATATTGGTTGTAGTTTTCCTAACATATCAAGTCAATAAGTCGAGGCTCCTAGAATGGGAGGAAAGGAGAATGGACAAGGATGTTCCTTTCAATTTTGATTTGGTATAGATTACAAATTTTGTTTTCCGTTCTACCATTCCTAAGAAAGGAATGAATTGGGTAAGGCTCATAGCAAATGGGAGGACAAGAGAACGGATAAGCAGGCTCCTTTCATTTTTTGATTTGGTATAGATTACGGATTTTGTTTTCCGTCCTACCATTCATAATGAAGGAATGGGGTAAGGGATACCAGCTCCTCCTTTCTCCCGAAGGGGATTGATGAGGGGGTATAATGCCTTTCCTAACTTTGTGTTTGAGGATGGAATCCTCAAGAAAAGTTGGAGTGACAGTTTCTGCTCATTGGGAGGTCTAAGAAAGGAAGTATCCTGTCATTATAGTAAAGTAGTATACGATCTATACAAGATACAGTCGCTTTTTCAAATTAAAATTAAAATTGGGATATCGATAAAGTAGTTGAGATCATAGTCTTCAACTCTCAACACGGTACAAAATATATAACACGGGATTACAATTGTTCGAGCAAAGAAAATAATGAATACATACAAGCTTTGTACATTTAAATCCAAGGACATTAGAGGATCTCCTAGAGCTCAAGATCCTAAAAGAAAACAAAGTGATTGAACAAGATTGACCTTAAAGTTAGCTTTTGTACTAGGTTTCTTCGCACCTCAAAACGAGTAGTAGTATCTCCAGGGCGCCAATATAGTTACCCTTTGGTTCTCGTAATTGTAATGCTGCCTTTTCCACCTTCAGTACGAATTTTAGTTTTCCCGAGTACAGGCTTCCCAGAAATAGCAGATGTTGGATAAGAAACTGCGCGATCTTCATTATTTTCCTCGGGTTCTGATGGAGTATGTATCCTCTGGTTTATGTCTTTCAGAGTCACATCTCCGTGCATGCCACATGGTTTAATGAAGGCAAATGGATAGACGACAGACGATGCTAGTTTAGGAGGAGTCTGCATGTATGATTTTCGGCCTGATAAGTTCAGAAACAAAATTAGACATGTACTAGTTAAGGCCGAACATGAGTTTTACATATGGCGCTTGATCATCATAATTAACAAGGAAAAAAAGTAAAACGAATACCTTTGAAAACAATGTTTTTGTGAGGGCGAACAGGAAGTTTTTGGACTGCATTAGCTTCGTATTCAGGAGGGGTGTCGAAAAGCTCTGCCGTAGTACATTTAAAATTTTAAAACAGACATATAATTAGAACTAAAGACTACTTTCGCATACCTGTGATATCAATCTGAACATCAGATACCCCTGAGACACAACTACAGCACAGAATAAGCTTGTCAGCAAAAAAAATTTTACAAGAAAAAAAAAAAAAAGAAGAAGAAGAAGAAGGAGGCATACATATCCTCAGAATTATATTGCATCTCCGAATCCATAACGCAATCGGCAAGCCATACTTCGGATGAGGGGTCCAAGCACTCATTACCAGGTGCATGCGTATCTTATATAGAAGTATGAAGAATTATTTAGTTGCAGTCCTCTACATATTTATAGATTAGTCCCTATAGATATCCGAAAAGAAAAATTTACAAGAACAGACCTGTAAATCCGCCAACCCACTGTGACATTTCAGATGAAGCCACTTCAAGAGACTCTGGTGTTTCCTAATCATAGATATAAAAACATGTCTAATTATTATCTATCTATGTTCAAGTTAGTGCTGATTAACTAACTTTTTTACTCTGGCAAATTCATAATGCTAGACGTGAGAATTTCCAAAAGAAAAGAACACCAACCTTTGACTTTAAAAATGCCTCGTCATTGTAAAGAGGTGTATCCAAAACTTCAGACTCAAACTGTAGCATTCGGCGCCTTTTTACTTGTGAAGGAGGTTCCCCACGTTTCTCCAAGTCTTCCTCTGCAATTTCTGGAGTTCATGCCATTGAAATAACGAGTAATTATATATGAATTCCAAATTACTCGTCCCAGTATATTAGTTATATGTTAATTTTAATCTGTGGTGCATATGTGAAGATGTAGTCTTCGACAAAAGTCATTTTCAAGAGAAGCGCAGACTTGCAAAACATATATTCTCGTTGGCAAATAACCAAAATGGCAGTGAAAAACAGATAGAAATGATATATGTTCAAGTAATAGCCTACCAAAACTAGTCACTTGATACGCCAAATCTCCACAGGCCTTAACAGGGGTAGTTTCATCATCAAACATGTAAGAGAGATCTTCGTTTTCATTTATTCCATTCATTAGGCATTCGGTTATTTCTGCCCAACATATAAAGACAAGTCTAGAATCAATGACCTAGTATGAACAAACAAATTATGAAGGGTAGATTAAAACCGCCATAAGACTCACCTAAGCTTGCATTTTCTTCAAGAGAGTAAGTCTGACTTTGCCAATCCCACATATGACTGTAACAATTTCACACGGAAAATTCGATATGTTAAGCTTAATGTGACTTAAAATTCCAAAGTGAGAAAATGTTGGGAAAGGTGAATTGCACGCGACAGTATTAATGATGCAAAAAAGTCTAAAATCTTGTCTAATGCTACTTACCAAACATGAAAATGTTGAAATTTGGAAGAAGAATCATTAAGTGGAAATATCAAAACTGAAATCTTTGAGCAGGATACTAGATTAAAGGTATCGGGCGGAGAATTCGACAAAAGGAAATGCAGATCCAACAAAAAAAAAAAAAAAAAAAAAAAAAATCTAAAAAATGAA